CCCGCCGAGTCGTACCGCGGCTGGTGCCGCCCCCGCTCGTCCTCGTCCATCCCATCCAAATCCTCCTCGCCCTCATCACCATAGTCCTCCCTCGCCTCCGCCTCCGCCGCCGCCCGTGCCGCACGCGCGGCCCGCGCGGCCGCGGCCGCCTGCGCGGCGCGCTTGGCGCGGGCGGTGCGGGCGGCGCGGCCGCCCTTCTTGGGCGTGGGGGCGCGGACGGCCACGGCGGGGGAGATGATGCGCAGCGCGTTGGCCTGGGATCCCGCACCGGTGGGGCTCCTGCGGGCGCATGGGTGTGCGTCGCAATGCCTCGGGCCAGACACTCCTAAGGTCCCTCTTCTGAGCTTCTCTGTCTCTCTCTCTCGCGCACACACACAGACGCACTACCTCACCTGCAAAGACATGCTGAGCAGCCACCTCATCCAGTCACCCCCAGGCCCATCCCCCGCATCAGCATCACTGCCTGCGATGCTGTCGCGACGGCCGCGCGGCCCGGTGACTGCGAGGCGCGCACCCGTGAGAGACGTCGCCGGGCGTCGGCTTGCGCGGCGTCCGCGCCATGCGCGCGGCGCCGCCCTTGCCGTAGCCGCCGCCGCCGCCACCGCCACTGCCGTCATCTTCGTAGTCATACTCGCCCTGCTCCTCCCCCGACTGCGCCGCGTGCGCAATGGACGCTAGAGACAGCAGCGCATCGATGCCCTCCCCCAAGTCATCGTTGAGGGCGTCTGGGGGAGGGGGGGGGCATGCATCAGGAGATGAGGCGCGAAAGAGTCAACAAATACAGAGGCGGAGGGGCGTCCTGGCCACAATAGTGCCGAGTTCGAGCGAGTGCCGCGGCAACACTGAGGATGCGTAGGGCGGCGGGCCAGGCGACCGCTGCGGTGTGCGCATGCGGACGCATGCCATGCCATTGCAGCATATGAGAAGCAATGAATCACGGCAGCACCCGTGCGCTTTGGCAGCACCGAGGCTCACCCCAGCCTTGCTGCCGCGCGGGCTCCCGCCGCCGCCCCTCCGGCCGCCAGTCGGAGGAGCGGTCGCGCTGCCGGTACCGCTGCTGCCGCGCCCGCTGCTGGCTCTCGTCTTCGGAGGATGACTCCCCAAACAGCTTCCGGCTGCGCCGCGCGCGCTTCGGCCGGCCGGCCGCCAGGGACTCCCCGTCCCCGCCGCCGGCGCTCGCCGCCGCCGCGCCGCCGCCGCCGCCCGCGCGGCGCTTGCGGCCGCGCGCCTGCCAGCGGCCCTCAGAGGCGG